TCGCGCATTTTGCAGTGGAACAGTTTTTTTTTTAGTTCTTTATACGAAACTTCGTATTTCTTTGATCTATGTTTCTTACCATTTTCAAGATATTGTCTGGCAATACTCATTGTAAAATCTTTAGATCCTACCTTTTTATCTTCTGATTTACAAGTGTTATACAGCACCAGTGCATTGACTATTGCAGATTGAATAAGCCTTATCAAAACTACCCATGTCCATTTTTTTGAACGTATGCATGGTATAACATTGTTGCCATGATTATCGTGTAAATCAACACCACCCATAAATTTATTGTAAGTATGAAAGGCACATGGAAAATGTACATCAACTCTTGCTTTCTTCTCTGCGCTATATATTTGTGATGGTAATTTTGGGCTAACACCTGCAATCGATGATGCTATTGACACTTGTTTCGAGTCCTTAATGCTTATATAGTTTATTCCACTGTTCTGATCATGTTTTGCAATACATGTACCTCTTAAAGCTTTTTTATCAATCACATTTCTGGCTTCTTTGGGTACGCGATTGTCTCTTATTGTTCCCGTGCATCTTAGTCCTAGCTTTTGCAAATGTAAAATAAGATCAAAATTCGTAAAAAAATTGTCAAAATAAAGATGGAATCGAGGAATTTCTGTACTAGATAATTTCTTGGAAAATGGTACCAGTAAATTCATCACAACTCGAGAACCAAGAGAACATTTATTCAGAAGATTTGCATTTGAATCTTTACCGCAGTATAAATGAAAATCTATTAAAAATCCGTCAGATGTGCAGCATCCCCAAAACTTCAAACCACGCCGTATAGGTTTTCCTCGAATGAATGTAACAAGGATGTTCTGGCGTGTGATTTAGCCATCATTTCATCTATGGATAAGGCTGTTTGAAAATAACCAAATCTTTGAATATTTTTTCTAAACTTATTCATCAAAACTCTTACTCTCCATGCCTTATCGTTGGGATTTTTATCTGCAGGCTTAGAGCATTTCAAATGAGATTTGATTTGTTCAAATGTATTGCGTGTGATGGCTTGTTGAACTATATCGCAAGACAATAGAGGATCAGATGACCAATAATCTCTTTGAGATTTCCTTTCATTGAATGACGATAGAATAATTACACCTAAAAAAGTATTCAAATCAATTTTTGAAAGATCATAGCCATTTTCACGAGTCGCTTCGATGATGTAATTTTTCATGTCATCTGTGAAGAACATTTTAAATAACTCAACATAGCTAGATCTACAAATTTTTGCTTTTTCTGTATTACTCAGCAATAGTTCATTTTGTATATCATTGTTGTAAATTTTTTCCCCATCTACCCACTAATATACGTGTTCATTCTCCAATTTTATTTGATCATCTCTATAGCATTTAGAAATTTTTCTATATGTGTATTGAGAAAGAAGACCTTCAATATTTCCATCAAGATTGCTGCTATGAAAATCCTCATTATCAGATTCCTCATTTGAGTCTCCGGAATCGTCTGGGTTTGGAAGGTCAATGAGTTCAGCACAATCGTCATCAGAATCATCAGATTCGTATAGTTCATGTTGGTCAGCAAACGATTTTTTTCGTTTAGGCATTTTGTAACTTTTTATATAGGCATGAGATAGCGGAAAATGAATTTACTCTAAGTTGTACACCAAAATGTAATAACTGAGATGTTAGCAGAGTATCAATTCAGACAATCAGGCCAATGGTGGTATTATTGCTTGCTAACAGTGTAATGAAAACTATAAAAATTATAAGCACGTCATATGATTTTACATAGGCAGGTCTACAAAAGTATCGAAAACTACTGATGACCGTATCTGATGATTCCAAAATTTAAAGAATTTTTTCCTGAGAATGTTTGCATCTAATCAAAAAAACGCTAGAGACATTTTTTAATCGAAATAAAACCTAGAATATGATGCAATTTCTTTTATACATTTATATTAAAATTTTCATTATGTCGTCCGCCATATTGGATCCGCCATTTTGAATTTCTAAAATCCGTTAAAGTATTCTCTTTTACGATATAGCGAATCATAGAGAAACCTATGTAAACTTAGGATTTAGAACTTTTATGAGTGGAAATGTGGAAAAAACAGGTTAATTTTCCAGTTTTCCGGTCGCCATATTGAATCCGCCATTAGGCATAACGTATATTTTATTGGAAATTACTTATAAAGGTCAGGCAATAGAACTGAGACAGTTTCAGTATAAAAAAGTCATCCATTTTAAGTTCATACATGAAATAATGCGAAAATCCACTGATTTTGTAAAATTTTGGCAATTAGCCGCCATTTTCGTTATGATAAACAATTTGGAATTGACCAAAAAATTTTTTTCCATAAACTATAGCTATTTTGTCCACCTTTGTCCATAGTTTAAAATAGATCGAAGTTTTTTATGTAATTGAAAAAAAAAAGTTAAAAAAAAAATTTTGAAAATAGCCTAACTTTTTCTAATAAAGTCCGCCATATTGGATTTGGAATGCAAAAAAACGTAATTTTGACATCAGAAATCGAAAGAGCGGACCCGAAAACATAAAGTAAAGTAGGTTTGGTCGATGTATATCTCATTTTCCGATTAGGAAGTATGGCTCGAAAATCAGTCTAAAAGTCTCTGGTTTTGGGCGTTAATGGGTTAAGGTCGGTATGTATATACTGTTACTGACTTCCTTTTCTATTTGAAATGCAATCGTTACCACCAAGTACTTATAGGTGTTAATACGAGAATAATCTGTTGTGGAGGTAGCTTTTGCTGCTGCGAGTGCTGGGGTCACTCAACGGTCATCGTACGTGTCAAACAAATGGCGGATGAATGGTCGAACGTACCCACAGAATTTTCGCAGAGAGCGAGTACGGACCCCAGAGAAAAACTCAGCATGAAAAAATCGTCAAATATCGTAATTTATTGAAATCATTTTTAATATTATAGTCATAATTTCTTTAGATAATAATAGTAATATTAATCATAATTACAATAATTTATATTATACCATCATACATGATTCATGAAACATCTATCCTCAGTCATTTAACTAAATATCTCATTTTATTTAGATTTTAAATATCTATAAGGATATTTATTTATGAAATGTTATCAAAATATAATACATTTTTCAATTTTTGTTTTTTCACTTTTTTTGAAAAGCGCCTAACGGAATTCTTCAATTTTTGCCTTGAATGTCATGAAAATACAAACTTGAAATGGATCCACGTTCAGATTTGAGGTACACTTTTGTTCCTTTTAAATAGTCAGAAGCGAACCGTCGGCCATGATTGCGCTAGATGACCAACGATTCGTTGTCATGCGCAGTAGGTTTACGTAAGCTCTTCTGGGAGGGAGGGGAGTATGGAAGGCCGGTAGTGCCATCGAGTGAATGGGTAGGTCACTAACCAAAAAGTACTTTTTCTGAGGCCGACCTGTTAGCTCACCGCGTGATACTGAGCGTTTTTTCGGGCGACTTAGTAGGTCGTCGAGATAATTTGACGTAGCAGAAGACAACTGATGTTATTGTGCTAATACGTTCTCATAACCTCACAGAAGTAAATTCAATATTTTATTAATCATTAATGTGTAATATAATGTGTTATTATATTAATGTGTAATCCAAGTATGCAATCTCACAAGTTTTATTCAATGAAACTATGAATAAAGGGTTGTACCAAATACGTATGACTAAGTACGATAACTATAACTTGTGGATTACAAGATTGTCAATATAATAAGAGGCTCGTTAAAAAATATCTAGCTTATATTGTTCAAACTATTTTAATTCAAAATGTTTTATGTCTTTAAGGTTTGAATTAATTTTAAGCAACAAAAATGTCTCAATCATAAATGATTGGTCTTGCTCTTTGCAGTTACAGGGAAGTGATACTTGATTGTATGAACTTTTAGGAGTTGGAAAATTTTTCTAAACTACTTTTTGGTGTTCTTGCATACCGAAAAAGAGTCCTGGAGTATTTTTAGGTGTTTTAGTACCTAGTGAAGTATCTAATTTTGAGGTTATGTGCTAAAAACATGGGAAAAACGCGGAAAATAACGGTTTTTTCAGTTTTTGAGCATGTTCGGTCAAAATATGATAATTTGAATAAATGCATTCGAAAGCACGGAAAAAAATACATGAAAAATGATTATGTAAATATTAGCCAAATATGACCTTCATAACCTAAAAAATCATTGAAAATTTCAATAATTTTTTCTGACTCCGATTTTTATCCAAAAAATCTGAAAAAAAATCGGGCTATTTTGTATAAAAAATTTAATATCCATGAATTTTTTCAGAATTTTTTGAGCAAACAGTAAAGTAGGAGAAATTATTTTCATAAAAACCAGTTTTTTACGATTGTGGCACTCTATTGCCACCTAGGGGTCTGAAAATTTAGGTGAGAGAGCCTCAAAATATGCTCTTTCGGATGTCTGATTCCCGATAACGATTCATTCTTAGGTAATTTTAACATTGTTAACCCGCTATAGCCTTTATCAAGTTATGTTTTGATATTTTTGATTTTTATAACATGATACATAAAATATAAAAATTGATATTATTTCTAAACCACAATTAAGTATTTGTAGACAACCTATTTTTAAACTAAAAAATTTCAATAATATAGTAAGTAGCTTATCAATATGAATAATGTTAATTGATTTTCAGAAAAAAGAGCATGTAAAGTCAATAAGATAACGAGGAAATCCAAATCAATGCATTAACGAATAATTATTTTATAATTATTTCTGAACTTTATATGTATATATAACTTTATAAAGAACTTGATAATTATTTTTATTCCTATAATCCGTGTTAAATGTCTACGGAGAAACAATATATTTCGGATATAAAGATTTTTTTGTTATTTGATTACCACTTCTTTCTGTTTATTCTCGGAAAAATCACAGATTTTTGAAACTAAAATCATAATCTCAATTTTCACAGCATATTAGTTTAACACGTATACTAGTTTATTGTTTAAATTAAATAATGATAAAAAAAATATATTTGCTTTTACAATCTAATGTATTTTTTCAGTTTTGATGAATACACTAATATACTTAGAACTAATTAGTTAGAAATAACTATTGTAAAATTTTATTCATGATTCACAAAAGACTCGGTTATTAAAATAAATACATCAAAATTATGATTTAATTTATTCAATAATTTACTCAATAGCTTTACTTAAAAATTCTATAAATCGTCTGCCGTACTGATCAGGATCACAAGTAGAAATTCCATCCACATTTGCTCCGTATTTGACAGTTTTGGCTGCTTTGGCTGCTTGCTTACGTACACCATAATGAGTAAGAACATCTATTATAGCAAGGAAGTAGATTTCCTTATTAGGGGCATCTGCAAAACAATATAATTATAATGTTATTAACAATTAAAATTAAATGACATACAAGTACGGGGTAAAGTGTCAATATGACTATATACGACAAAGTCATTTATGATCTTTGAGAGGATGTATTATGCCAAAAAGCATATCGGCAATAATGGTTCTCGAATTATCCTGTTACCTATGCACGTTGTTACATGTGAGACAAAATCTCACATTTATATTTATTTAGCTTTATTTTATCATGTACATAAATTTTTAAAAATTTTATAGGCTATTTTAATCGTCAGGCGTTGACAAACTGTCGCGCCTATTCTTTTTTTGCGTGACATACGTTTACGTTACTCGTAACGACCACTGTTCCGCGATTTGGCTACTACCTCTACTTACTGTAATGTAACTGCATCTTAGCTTTAAGCTCTAGTTCTACGTATATGTCAGTAAATAATTAAGTTCATGTGAAACAGCCATAAAGACTATTCATTCAAAGAAATATTAGTAAGGCGTTTCTGATATGATATGCCGCAAAAATAAAATTGCTTTATAATTTAAAGTTTTATTTTGGTTAGAGATAGTTTTTGATAGATTTGGCAATATCACCCTCTGATAAGCCACAAGGGTAAGAGATTAAATGATCAATGTTTATTATTTTCCAAAATCACTGTTTATATGTATAAAATAGCGAATGTATCCTAGTACAAACTACATACATATTTCTAAATAATAACAAATTAGTATAATTACTATTAATAAGTTAACAAATTAACATAACTAACCAAAGGTACTAATTATATATTTACAACTATTTAGAGTAAGGAAATGACAGTGAGTAATCATGAATCCTAATGCGTACAGGTACCTAGTGTACCTCTACCGCGTGACGAAATTGTAATTATTGTTATTATTTTATAAAGGCGATTCTTGAAGAGTCAATAACAATTAGAATTTACTAGTAATATGATTAACTACGCACGGTTATTAACCATGTATTTCATTTATCCAGATGTCGATTGGCCAGATTTTAAAGATACAAGAAATGCTTATCATCGACTAACCAATAAAAGAAACAAGAAAGGATTCTTTGGCAAAATACAGCGTAAATTACTATTAGGAACGTCAAAGTATTATCAACTATAAAAAAGAAGGATAAAGAAAGAACAATACACAATTAATTTACACGATATGGCATAATTATGCATTAACTTACTTGCACTAAATAAATAGATATCATTTTACTATTAAACCCTATTTAATTGCTCTGTGGAGCTTACAAGCAATCAATGAGATGACTGCTTATGATGTTTTTAATGATTCTATATTTGGCCCTCTTTATTAGTTTATTGTTGGCTATTTCAAAATGGATCACGCATTGATCTTGACCGAAAAATATGACGAAAATGGATCTGAAATCTGATTTGACAAGAAATTGCTATATCTCTTGTAGGTTAAGAATCCGTTTTTGCTTCCCAAATCCCCAAATAAATAATTTGTGCTCACGGCCGCGATCTACCCAGACGGGAACGGTCGCTATTCTCCGTTACACATAAAACAAAAACGAAACATTATTTCTAACTTTTATGACAGAGCTATTTTACATTTACGTGAATATTCTACATAAAATAGTTTAATAAAATTGATAATATTTTGAGGAATGATGATGAATCTTCAATATTCATAGAAAATTATATTTCACAGAAAATTCTTTATTGCGAATTCAAAAATCTATGTTTTTTGTGCTTCACATTGGTGATGGAGGTCTTGAAAAGTTTACTGATAAGTTTATTAAGATGATTTTCAAGTTTAGTATTTTATTTTACGTGAAAGCTTTTAATTTTTTGTTTAATTCTTGGTGTCGGTAAATCTTTTCATTTAATTTCGTTTAAGACAAACCATGAAACCTGTATAATATTACGTAGGGCTTTCTATTGGAATTCTTTTAAAATTCGAGTTTAAAGCAGCACTCTATCATTGAATGTCATAGGTCCAGACCGGTTTGAGTACAGTTTTATAGAATAGTAATTTCTGTTTAATGACAGCTCCGATTTTTCTTCAATAAACTAGTACATGTTCTTTCCTTTCAGTTCCAGCTGTTTATGTTTTGTGAATATATGTTCTTTCCACGTGAACATCCTGTCTAGATGTATACCTAATTATTTTACATGGTTTCTTTGCGGAATATATTTATTGTTGAGTTTAATAAATGGGCAGGTATTTTGTCGAAGTGTGAACGTGAATTGATTTGCTTTCGTTAACTTTGATTCTTCATGAGTTTAACCAACTCTGAACATGATTAATTATATAATTTATGTTATGTAATATTTCGGATGTTATAGTTGTCTCTGGATGTGGTGTGAAAATAGTTGTGCCATCTGCGTATATTGTGTTTGTCATTGCTGTCATGATAATAGGAAACTTCAGTAAGTCCGAGGTGAATAGCAATAAAATGTTGACCCTGAGATACTAACTCGTGATACTCCTGCTTCTATTTAATGGCATTTTGATAATATTTTATCTATTTCAACTTTTAAAGTTTTCTTTTGTAAACAAGACTTCAGAAGCTTATAGTGGCACATTGGAACACATTTTTTAGTTTTTGAAGAGAGATTTCACACCTGCCATCGCCATCTTGATTGAAGTCTCCTTGGTTGAAGAGATTCAACAGACGCCGCATGAAGAAACAGAACAGAACAGAACAAACAAAAGAAAGCAGTAAATGGTTTTAACGGGATGAACCTAGTGCATTGAGTCAACTCCATAGACGTGCAGGGACACGAGCAAATTAAATAGCAATAATATTTGGTTAGAGGTAGTCACCCTCCAATTCCTGGATGAAATTGTCGCTAGGCAAAGTCGTTACGTCTAATATCCCTTGGTTTAGTCTGGTTGTTATAGTTTGTAAACCTAACGGTACTTGGCGATTTTGTATTGACTTTCATAAAATCGACTATATCACCAAGAAAGATGTCTACCTCTTGCCTTATATAAACGATATTTTGCTTAGCTTCGTCAAATATATTAGCACTATCGATCAGAAAAATGCCTATCATCAGATTCACTTAGCATTTACATTTACAATTTACAGTATTTACTGTACCTGAACATTAATTAAATATTTAGGTTTATTTGTGATCCGATCGGGATTAGCTTCCTAGTACAGTCTACATGCGAATAGGACTTCGCATAGCCGGAAGTTTCTAAGTCTTTGCCAAGCCTAAATCAAGGGTGTGATAGACCAAAAAAGGCCACCCACATTGTACGCAAAGTGCTAGCTCCAACTCTATTAAGCACCGTGACGGCAATCCCCATATGCCTCTGAGGGTGCCTACAAATAGCGATACACGGTGACCAGGCTCACATTGCCGTTATACGCGCCAAATTCTATTATTTGGAGTTATTGTGCCGAGACAGCCAGATAATACAAAAAGAACTGCAAATTACGGATTATGAGATTACGGCTGACCTCCTACATGCTGATCTCGAACGGAGGATCGGGCATCTCCTTTAGGATGCGAAGATTCACTTTTTGCTTGGGCTGCAAGTAGCCCGGATTACTGTTTTAGAAACTCTACCGGAGGTGAACTCGAAAGTAAGATCTTCACTGATCCTTACGAAAAATTGGAAAATCTCGGATGGTTGGCCAATCACAGTTGTGGGTAAATACCATTATGCCCTACCCAGACATGTCTACCTGAATAAACAATTATTCGATTCTTTCCTTCTGATTCCTATTTCGAAGGATGAATTAGCTCCTAATCGAGTAGCTAATAATCAGAGATTTCAAATGAAAGTAAGATGAAGACAGTCGTAAGTCTTCGGCTATCCACGTCACCCACCTAGCCATTAGAAAAGTTAGTAGCTAGAGAGAGGATCTCAAAGACACACAGGCTACTATCAGGGGTCACCAAAGGAGCGCTGTGAACAACTGAGGATTCCAGGCCGAACCGGAAAATTGAGTTAGAACGGCGCAGACAGCGAGGTACCACTTTATGCAATCGACTAACTACCGTACTCGTAGCTTAACAGAGAGGATCCCTTCTTTAACAGACCGTTTGAAATGGTAGACAGGCTCACTATTTCCCTAAAATAGGCTATTGTCAGTATACTCAAGAAGAAGTGGATCAAGGAGAAGAAAGGGCTCATCTAACTTAGTAAGGGTTAGAAGTTCCTACATAAATTGCCAGGATGACTCAGCTGTTACCTCATCCTTCAAGTCTACCCGAAAATGGCACCGTCGTCGTCCCATGAATCCTGAAGATTATCTAGTGGCAGGAATACATGTAAAGAATAGGTATTGTCCGTGATTAGCGAGGTTCTCATCAATCAAAAGTAATGTCTCATGGCGCCACCCTTCCTGAGTTTCAACTAGCTTCCGGGAATCAACCGGAGAGTCACTCCCGGCATCCAGCAGAGACTGTTACATCGGCACCATCAAATCTCCAGGATGGAACAGTCCATTTCTAGGACTAGGAGTGACCCAGTGAACATTAATATCCTCGTAGTTCAGGGCAATGGCTTAGTAGCGGGCGAGCCCACAGTGCCCACAGCACCCATAAAACGCGATGAGGATAAAGCCAAAATACATCCATGGTCAAAACACCACGGAAATGTAATCAATGTAAGCAAATTTCAATTTCAACGTGGCGCATCTCGAAGAAGTACGTGGTGGAATCCTCCGAGGTAGAAAGGTGTGCTTCATCTGCAATCACCCCGACGTGACTAAGTCCAATTATGGCTCTTACGTTCTGGATCATACCCACTATTGCCAACACCGATGATAATAAGTCGATTAACGAAAGATAAGAGATTCATAAGTTCGCTTGAATTCATGTTGGTCTCACCTCATCGATCATTCATCATCGTTTCCTGCCTTTCAGTACCCGAAATGAGCTTCGATAATATCGTTGATAAACTTTTGGTATAATCAGACTGTGGGAGGGAACTATAGCAAGTGCACTCATTAAGCACTGATTTTGGGCGCGAGATCGAATAAGACAGGGAGGCGCGAGAGAAA